CCTCGGCCTCCCAAAGTGCTGGGATTACAGGCGTGAGCCACCGCGCCCGGCCCTTCATCTTTCTTTCTTAACAGAGTCGCGTTCTGTTCACCTAGGCTGGACTGCAGTAGTGCAGTCCTAGCTCATTGCAGCCTCCAGTTCCTGGTTCAAGCAATCTTCCTGCCTCAGCCTCCCAGATAGTTGGGATTACAGATGTGCACCACCATGCCCAGCTGATTCTTTAAGTCTTTAGAAACAGGGTCTCAATATGTTACCCAGACTGGTCTCAAATTCTTAGGCTCAAGAGATCCTCCTGCCTCCCGCCTCGGCCTCCCAAAATTCTGGAATTACAGGCGTGAACCACCGCCCCCAGCCACTTCCATATTTCCTATCAACTAAGTTTCTGTCATTGAAAGCTTACTAAAATAGCATGTTTCCTTTACATCACTTCACTTATCTGAATTTATCCTTCTTTTAAATATAAAATAATAAGCTTACAGAAACTTATCCCTACTGAAACTGCATACTGTACTCAGAAACTTGGAGGTCATCTTCAATCTCTCCTTTGCCTGTCCACATTGTCCCTTCCAATCAATCAATCATCAAGCCTTTTTTATTTTGTTTTGTTTTTTGAGACAAGGTCTCTGTTGCCCAGGCTGGACTGCAGTAGCGTGATCACCGCTCACTGCAGCCTCCACCTCTTGGGCTCAGGTGATCCTCCCACCTCAGCCTCCTAAGTAGCTGGGACTGCAGGCATGCTCCACCCCACCCAGCTAATTTTTTTTTCTTTTTTCCTTCTTTTTTTGGAGAGATGGGGTTTTGCATGTTGCCCAGGCTGAATCACCAAGTCTTAAACAATTTTAAATCTCCCTCACTTCTGCTTCTTCCCAGTCACACAGCATTTACCCAAATTTACACCACTAGCATCATTAACCACTTCCCTGCCTACAAGCTAGCTCTGCTTTGATCCATCCCTCTTGGGAGCATAATAAACTTTGAAAAATTCAAATCTGGCCGGGGGCGGTGGCTCAAGCCTGTAATCCTAGCACTTTGGGAGGCCGAGGTGGGTGGATCACGAGGTCAAGAGATCGAGACCATCCTGGTCAACATGGTGAAACCCCGTCTCTACTAAAAATACAAAAAATTAGCTGGACATGGTGGCGCGTGCCTGTAATCCCAGCTACTCAGAAGGCTGAGGCAGGAGAATTGCCTGAGCCCAGGAGGCGGAGCTTGCGGTGAGCCGAGATCGCGCCATTGCACTCCAGCCTAGGTAAGAAAAACAACACTCCGTCTAAAATTAAAAAAAAAAGAAGGCCAAGGCGGGCAGATCACCTGAGGTCGGAGTTCAAGACCAGCCTGACCAACATGGTGAAACCCCGTCTTAAAAAAATAATAAAATTAAATTAAAAAATTCAAATCTGAGACCTGATTGCAGGTGAAGTGCTCACACCTGTAATCCCAGGGCTTCGTGAGGCCAAGGTGGGTATATCCCTTGAGCTCAGGAGCTCAAGATCAGTCCAGGCAATGCGGTAAAACTCTGTGTCTACAAAAAACACAAAAATTAGCAGAGTGTGTGGTTCACATGTCTCTAGTCCCAGCTACTGTGGAGGCTGAGGTGGGAGGATAACTTGAGCCAGGGAGGTAGAGGCCGCAGTAAGCTGAGATCCCACCAGTGCACTCCAGCCTGGGTGACATGGGTGACAGTAAGATCCGGCCTCAAAAAAAAAAAAAAAGTCTGGCTGAACCCCTAAATAGTCTGGCATGATCTGGTTCCGGCTACCTACCTCAAGGGTCTTATCTCTCACCTCCACCCTCTACATTTCAGACATTTTGAACTTCCTGCATCTCCTTGAATGCTTTCAAGTATTCATGCATATCTTCAGCCCAAAACACTTCCCACCCACTCTCCACTCCTCTAATTCATCCCTCAGGTCTTCACTTAAATTTTACTTTTATTCCTGTAAAGTTCTCTCTAACTCTGTTCCAGAGTATATGTTTCTGTTGTATATCTCCATGACACTGTTTCCCTTATACTCTATATTTTAATTGCTTGTTGAGTTTGACCAGGACAGAGAGCTTGTCTGTCTCACTCAATGTTATATGCCCAGTTCTTTAGGACAGTGCTCGAAAAAGGAGAAGACACTTGCTACAGATTTGCCTGAATTGCTGAGTGCAGAAGTGGGTACAAACCCAAGCTCTGCCATTTACTTACTCTATAGCTTAAGCAACTTAATTAACCTTTCTCAATCTCAGTTGCCTCAACAGAAATAGTAATACATGACTCATCAGGTCGACAGGAGGACTAAAAGAGGTGACGTATATTTAAAAGTGCTTTGGCCGGGCGCGGTGGCTCAAGCCTGTAATCCCAGCACTTTGGGAGGCCGAAGCGGGTGGATCACGAGGTCAAGAGATCGAGACCATCCTGGTCAACATGGTGAAACCCATCTCTACTAAAACTACAAAAAATTAGCTGGGCATAGTGGCGTGTGCCTGTAATCCCAGCTACTCAGGAGGCTGAGGCAGGAGAATTGCTTGAACCCAGGAGGCGGAGGTTGCGGTGAGCCGAGACCGCACCATTGCACTCCAGCCTGGGTAACAAGAGCGAAACTCCGTCTCCAAAAAAAAAAAAAAAAAAAAAA